AACGGTCGCGTGTTTCTAACTCTGGTGCAACATTTAGTATTTATTTCTACAAAATCTCCGTGGTTATTTCCCAAAAATGAATATACTTACCAATATTGCATTATCCTAGTGACATGTGCTTATTCATGGACATTTATGAAAAGTTTAGAAGTAATGGACGACTCTAGACTTTCCCTTTAAATACAGAAATAAGTATTTTGCACTGCATTCAATGGAGTGGAAACGTAAAATTTGAATAAAATATATCAGTATTTGTATAAAGTGTTTAAACCACGATCATAATCTTAGATTTATATATATATAGATATAGCAGCCCTATTATTCAAGCAAATGCCTCATAAGTCATAACCTTATAAAACTTGCAGATATTTCAATAAAAGAAATGACTAGATAAGTGATCGAACCAAAAACATATCATTGAATTCTCTCCATTTATGGTTAAAATTTATTGCGCTCAAATTGTATCGTTTTGCTAATTCGTTATTGTTGTTAGTCTTGTTACTGGGGCGGCCATTTGGTGAGGAACAATCGTATTTAGATTTTCAATTTCTGCAGCAAGCGCAAAAATAGTTAAGTACCCTATAGGCCGTATAGGGCCTATATATACTATAAATGACCCAATGAATAAATTTCGCGACACATGAATCCGTTAACTTAGCCTTGCAAACTTAGCATCATAAACTACTTGTGATATCTTATTTATCTACATCATATCAAAAGTGCCACCCCGGGCTCGACTGTCAACTTCATCTACCAAACAATACACAGTCTTAAGATCAACTTCTTATTGTTAGATAACTCAAATTCAGTTACGAATAACCATTAGCAGTTGGTCACTTTATAATGTTGAAACAATGTCAAAGGCGAAAAACAGCGTTTTTCAAACAAAGAAAACACAATAAAGGTAACACTAACAATGCATAATCCACAAATCGATAAATAAGTGGTCAAAGACAAAGCAGCGAGTGCCTCATTTATCTATGACATAGGCTGTTGAAGTCGACAGTTCGATCACCGATTGCCACAAAACAAACAAAAATTAAAAAAAAACCACCAACTTTTTTCCAATGCGGATGAACCAGAAACACTGCAACTCCGGTCACACAATTACAACGATCAGTATATTTCATTTGTTGTAACAGTTTTCTATACGCTTGTTTTTTGTGGTGACAAATAAAAGATTGATTGATTGATTATAATTGATAATAATGCCTTCATTTTATGGGGAAAATGCCAATACATGAACTCGAAATCCATAATATGCGTCATAACAGATTAGTTGTGGCGTCTTTTCATCAGAGGACTCTTACAATTAGCATAGGCTAGAGTCGGCTAGAACAGTGGTTCCCAAACTTTTTTGACCATCGCCCCCCTAAAGTAGTTTATGCAACTTCATCGCCCCCCTGCACTACAAAAAAATATAAAGTCAGAAACGAATATATTACAGACCAAATAAGAAGACAAATCATAGTTTATAGTGTTTTTCAATGAGATAGATGAGCTTGGTGTTCTTCAGCGAGTTTTTTATTATATCTAAAATTACCCCGTTTACTGATGGAAACGTGATTTCGTTTTTTTAATAGCATTAGTTGCACGGCTGAAAACCCCTTTTTCACCATATAATAGGTCGGAAATGAAAGAATCCAGGGTTCTACCTCCTCAAAAACCGGCGTGTACTCTTGCCTCATAGCATTTCACTTCCTAAATTCACCCCATTTGACATTAAAATAATAAAAACAAAGTCAATTTTCCCAAACTTATAATAATGATTTTCGTACATCTCATTCATTCGTACAGCCTGATGACCTGCACCAAAATATTTTGGAAAAATTCATCCCCGATTCCTCATCCTATCACGGCCTCCAGTCCGATCACCAGTCCATAATTAACCAGCCATTTGTTTTTGGATTCATTGACTCGGATGTGGAAGAAGCCGTGACTGACTATCGGCTACGGCCCAGGGGTCGGCAAATTTTTTTGTCGCTTGCAGGACAAAATTCAGGGTTGCTAGTCTTTTGCGGGTCGCATATATTTTTTGAAAGTTAAAAACGGAACAGCGCGCGAAAACTGCGACAATTCGTGAACTCAACTCAGTCGTCTTATTAAAAAAATATTACAATGATATCTAATGTGACACTGTCTCGTTGCTGCATCACGCTGGATAGCTTTACGTAGCCAAGATTGAAACATTTTCTAAATGGGCATCACCAAACACACTTCTTTGCTTGTTCTTTGTCTTATTAAAAAAAATATTACAATGATATTTAATGTGACACTGTCTCGTTGCTGCATCACGCTGGATAGCTTTACGACGCCAAGATTGAAACATTTTCCAAATGGGCATCACCAAACCCACTTCTTTGCTTGTTCTTTGTAATGTTCATTTTCGAAAATAATGGTTTGCACAAATATGTACTTCCAAACATCGAAGTGAATATTTTCGCATGATTTGAAATTTTGATAAATATTTTCTTTCTAAGAAGATACATTCTTACAAAAATTAAGCAGTGATGAATCTCTCGAATAGAATATAAATTTTATTTCCTTATTGCTTTGCAATATATTCGAATATTTACTGCGCTATTGAACCCCTGCACTCAGCATCAACTTTTCTGCGTGTTTCCATTTGTTCAATTATAATTAAATTGTAGGCTCGTTAAACGAGTGGCTGTTCACTAAATTGTTAGAATATAGTATAATTTAGTCTAAACGTGTCTCCCGATAAATTCTGTTACGTAAAAAAATGTAATTTACTTCTCGAGCATAGATTATAAATAAAAAAATTTCATCGTCAAAACCGTCATTTGGATATTTCCCCGGGCATTGACTTCCTTGTTTACTTCGTGACATTGGCCAATCAGCAAGATGGAAAAACGTAACAATGCCCCCTTTCGCATCCCAGGCGCTCACTCAGACAGATTTTCAGGCGTGGTCGTAAACACTACCTCATTTTCGCGTTTTTGGATAATATTCGTTAGTTTTAAGTTGTTTTTCGGGAATTTAAATATAAATCAAATAAGTCAATGATTACTTTGTCTTTCTATGGGTTTCAGTTTAAATACAGCAATCAAAAATTAGTGTAGAAATAGCTGTGATAGACTAGGCTAAAATTCTTTATCGGTACTTTTAAAAAACAGATTGTTAAATGGTGTGTATTAGAATGATAGTTTGAAACAAATACCCCATTTTACAGGCAACAACTCGCGAAACCACTCTTAAAATAAGCACCGAAAATTTTAAAATGGTGAAGAATTTTCCGCAGTCAAAGGTCGGGGAAAGGTCCATTCAGTGAATCGTCCCGGGTCAGATTATTTTACTCCGGCCCTATTTTGCCGACCACTGGGATACCAAACTACCTTACCTCACTGCGAAGACGAGACCAGAAATTCTTTCGCGTGTGAATATCGCCCACATGATTCAAGCCTGCCAATGCACACAGAGTACAGAATTAAGTGCGCCGAACATAAAACAGGTTTCGCAAAATCGCCCTCCTATCGCCCCCTTAGACTTTTTCGCCCCCCTCTGTATCGTTTTCGCCCACTGGGGGGCGATATCGCCCACTTTGGGAATCACTGGGCTAGAATACGGTGTCTCATTGTTTATATCAGTAGATTGCCGCCGATGTAAGCATATTCTTCATTATCGCAACCCACTTGTTTTGCCGAAGGCTGCTGTTGATCAAATTGCTTTTGTAGTAGGCTCGTGAGCTAAGTTTCATGAGCCTTTGTTTTAAAACATGATCTTTTTTTCAGAATTGATAAAAAACAAAACCCTACTTATAGCGGATCCAACCATCCTTATATACTGAAAATAAATAATTCATTAGTCTGTTAGTTGCAGGCGAATTTTTGACAAACAAAATTCAGTGAAAACGATTTACATCCATACTTCGTGCGCAATAAACCCATTAATTATTTGCATTTAGTCATTTTATGTAGACTGACGGCACCCCCAGCTCCAAATGGAGTGCGATTTGCGAATGCAAGCCGTTATTTCTCTACGTTCGGTAGATGGCAGCAACGAAAAGAAAATTAAACGGCAGACGGATTAGTTGAGTTTTGATGGAAAGGCAAATGTGAATAATTGATTTCGACATCGGTTGCCGCTTGCGTCAGTTGCCGATTCAGCACCGTTGCTTTATAAAAGCGAAAAAAAAATATTTGGAGGACAGTTTGGCAAGAGATGTTTGTGTGCAAGGTTTTGCCGTTTTGAGGTTTAGTAGTTGCTCTAATACAGCGGAATATTATCATCATGCTATTATGCAGTTAACGTTATAATATAAAGGCAATGTTTATCATGTAATACAGTACTGCAGTAATAGCGACGAAATGCACCGTATTAATGTTATCTAAATTTATTGAGAATAAGCATTGAGTAGGCAAGCTCTAGAGGTGGCCCCAATCCATGTTCATTTTTGTCAGTTTGTGTTCATGTACAGATGTATGAGTTTCAAATACTTAAGGCACTGTACTACAGGAGAGGAACTCATTCTTTCATTTAGAAAAAGTTTTGCACAGAAACTTCGAATGTAGGCTAGTTTATAGTCTCGAGTTATACAGCTATAGAAATTTTCCCACCTACTTTCAAACCTTCAGATGCCATTCATACACTGACTTCAATAAGGCTACATCTTAGCATGCGGTTACTGCTGGCCTGCTGCTATCATTAACTAGTCACAATTTATTCAATACCATCCAATCTTATCATGGCATACTTAATCTTGTCCTCATAGGTTTTGTAATATCACAATATAGTAGAATGAATGTGTAACGTACAAATGATAGTAATGCAATATTGATAGCGTATTTTTATATCATTGTAGGGCTGTAGGCATTGCCTTTATTTTAAAAGTAAGGTCTGAATTTGCATGATTGTACAAAATTCGATTATTTTGATAATTCTAAGTGCAGAGACGCATACTTTTATTCATCCCTATATTGCCTAAAAATGCACTACGCTATGAGTTAGCATTAACACATCACTTTTATTTTTTTAGTATAAGTTAAACTTAAATCAACCATGTTTAAAGAAGCACCAAAATTGGGAAATATATTTCTGAATGAATTTCTAATATCGGACCTGATTAGTTTGAAGCAATTACCCACCAAGTAACAAAACTTAACAATCGAAATGAGCCAGCAAAGGAAGCTACCGTCAAAAAGATATTCATCTTATTTACCACCAACTGAACTTTCCACCCTTGAGGATCAAGTCGCAACGTTGCCAAATGAGACAGAACCCAATGTGGAATTGCGTACTACTTCAGTGAGCACTCCAGATAAAAATACCCGCCGAAAGAGTTTGAATACATTACACTTTGATGCACTTCAAAATGCTGTATCTAAGTTGTCTCGAATTGATGACTTTGATCTTGAAGAACTAGGATATGGATTCTTTTCGGATGTTTTCAAGGTGAGAGTTGATTTTTATCATATTTAATTTTAATATTCATTTAATCTTGTGTTTCTTATGCACTATTCCTATATATTGTGATTTGTGATTTTGGTGAGCAAATTGACACTTGATTAATGTTAGAGGTGATTTGTACGGATTGCTATGTTATAAATGACATTTAGGGGCTACCAAGAGTGAATGTACTTGACAATTAATCTGCTTGAAAGAGCATGCAATAAAGCATGCAACTTGCAATTCATATATACTATGGTTTATCCGGTCAATATAATCAATAATGAATTGCATATCATGAGATAATAATTTTTGCCTGACTGATAAATGTATATACAAATGACTTTTAGATTCCAGTAAAAATTTGGTGCAGTGAATTTATTATATTCATGCTTGGTTTTAAATTTTAGGTTGTGTTAACTTCTATCAATAGGTCGATACGTTATTTTTAAATTTCAATGAGAATGATGTTGTATACATCATTTGACATTTTCTTGTGCCATATCATATTGATTTGACCTTTTTGTAACAGTTTTTATTTGTGTTTTGTTGTGAATTTTGATATCATGGGATTCAATAATAGCTTTTGTTATGTTGAGGTGATTTAATTACCATTCTGTTTTATTTGTATTTGGAGAGAGTGATGATATTACAAATAAACAACGCCCAGAAACATACCCTAATTACAAGATCTAGTATTTGACAAACACACAAGAATGAACAATTGATGGAATGTGTTTTATGGCTTAGTTAATTTCGGCCTTTGCATGACTCGGAATACTTTTTGGTTCTGGTCTTGCCCACAGTAGAAGTATTGTTTGACAACCCGACTTGAACCATTCATGAATGTTGGTTCGTGCTATAGGCTATAATATTATTAGCTTTAACTGAATTTTTCAAAACTGAAGTATTTATACACCCATAAATTTTACTAAATAACATAAACTGCATACAGAGCGCAGTTATTGTTGGTAAAATTTTGCAAGTCACTTTGGCCAAAATTCAACCCTATAAATTTTGTTTGAACTTTATAAAGTTAATAAGGAAGTGCCTGCAGTTAGGCTCATGCTTTCATATCCATAATTCATATCATGCATAGAATGTATTGCATTGTTGGAATAGATTATTGCTCCATTAATTCCTGTATGACCCAGATATTTTATATTAATAATAGCAGATGTTATCAGCTTTCTAGTGGAATAGAGTGTACCAATAGGCCTACTTAAAATGACACTTTGTGTAGGCTTTATATTGAACAGTTTAATTTCAAAAATCATGATATTATTAGAATTATCATCTTGTAGTTAAACAATATGTCAACAAATATTTATAACTGTCAGCCATGGAGAGCATTTGATATACCGATAATCCATCAACAAATGTTTGTGGGTTTTCATCGCTGCTTCGTCACAATGCAATCCCTTCAATTGCGATCGAGTAAAGCAATCATAATAATTCGATGACAATCTTCGATTCATTTTACAATTCCCATAGGAACCCATCAAATTAAAGAGTTCAATATCTCGATTTGTAATTGCTTTTGGCGGTTGATTAATCGCGAGTGGTAAGCAAAGTCATTTCGTCATTCTGTGGCCGGGTTGAGCGTTAAAAGAGGTTGTTGATAATTCTGATAATTCGTGGAATTGTGACGTAACAATTAGATTCTTCGGTTTCCAGACGCATCGTCTAATTCGAAATACCCTTCACGTTACATCACCTCTTCAGCGAAGCGTTTTATCAATGTGTTTGTGGTTTTTATCCGTTATTAAATAGAAGTGCTCCTACTTGAGCGGTGTCGGATCATTAATCAAATGTTCGCTCAACAGTCGACCTATCTGCAATGTATAATGTTACTAATTTCGACCACAATGCCGGCCTAATTTTCGTTTCGCCGAGTGTTTTTATTTTGAAATACGAAAATTATGATTTCAAGTCCCAAATTCCGTCTTAAATCGGCAAAGTAAATAACACTAAAAGCAAAGTTATTCTTTCGAATTTTCCATAATTTAAACGAAGCATGAAAACATTGCTATAATTACTATATTTCATCTCTCCGTTTATAATTATGTTACATCAACGGCGATAATGCGTACGGCGCCCCGGTTTTCGCACATCATTTTCGCCTTTTCGTTCACAGAAATTCAAAGCCGTTGTGAAAGGCGTTTTCAATGTCACATTGTTACGTTTTTCAGCGTTCAATACCATTCTTGTCAATTGCCCATTCATGTGCGAATGGCCTTATTTTCAAAGTGTGTTTTATCGCTATTTCATGTTAAAAACATACGTAATTATAGTAGGCCTTACAATGTGCAAATGTGCTCACCGGTAGTTAAAATATAATTCAGTGATGCCACATTGGAGCCCGTGGAGTTTGACACCATCGCGTCGATTAAGGTATTTTATTCGGTGAATTTGTTGTTATAGGCATGCCACAAACTACCGGGCGTTGTCAAAAGTAAATGCCTACTGTACACACAACTTGTCACCCAATGACAATTCAATAAGTTTATTGCGTCCAGAAATTATGACTGACGACTCATTAACAGACATTCCTAATCGTAAAAGCGAAAAGAATGAATTATGTCCCGTTCTAACCTCCACAAATTCGTGTTTAATTGTCACATCGATAAATTTGGTTGTCATTTTCTGTTTGTTGAACATTGTAAATATAAATAACGATCCATGAAATGATTATACCGGTAAAAAAACGCTAACTTCTACATTTTTGTACATTTTCTTTTGAAACTTTTTTTCAAATTTTATTTATATCCTGACCAAGTTCCATGTATGGATCATACTTTTTTATTCGTAAATGAATTTTTTTTCTATTGACTTAATTTTGATCGATATCCAAATTATCTTTTCTATATCGCTTCCATTACCCACGCTACTCATCGCCTTCAGTACAGTGCATTTTATTAGTAATATACCTAACGAGGCATTTTGTTAAAAATGATATATAGTATCTATGTTTTCATCGTACACAATTACGCTTCTTAAAAAACTCAAAGGTCCTAAAAGGCATATTTATATATCAATAAATTGGCAAAGAGAGTACAGATAGAGTATACATTACGTTAACCACCACCAGGCTATATTTCTATTAACATCAATTTTTGGCGAAGTCCTCGGTTTTTTCTACGTCACAAAGTACTTTCATCCATTGTCGGTTTTAATGAAGTTGATAGAGCACTTTTCAACTATTCAGCGAAATTTCGTAATCTGAATATGTTGTAACATGATGTTTTATATGTTTCAAGTTGGGAAATTCTTTTTTTATATTGATAATACTGCTTTCTAACAAAAAACACTGAGTTTCTTATTCAAATGTAGATTAAAAAATTAATCCATTCATCCCGTTTAAATACTCATAAGAATGTCACATTGTAGCTTGTTGACACACGCCCTATTCAAATATAATTCATCAGTCGGTCAATTGTCGTTTGTATTTGCTGATATCGGAATCAATAAAGGCCGAAAACGTGAGAAAACATTCAACGCAAATCACTGAAGTTTCATTTCACGTATTTGAAAGTGACCGAGCATGATAATACGGAAATGGGCGGCAACTTTTTGATTGATGTATTGCGACTGCTCGTCTATTCTTAGAATTTGAGCCAGATGTTCATTGGCTTTAAATAGATATATTTTCAGAGATTTTTACCTGTCGTTTTTGTTAAAATACTTTCCAGTTATGTGATTAGTTTTGAAGGAGCGACTTCACAATAGGATGTGTCAGAATGCCAATAGCGACCTTTTTGCTTTGAGCTGTCTAACTCTACTGATAGAGATGTGTTTCGGAGAATGGCAATGTGAAAACTTTTGAACAAATCCAATCCAAGACCCGATCGCCATGACTCGAGATTCAAAAAAAATTATTTTTGCGTGAAACTGACCAAAGCTACATTCCCAATAATAAATTTTGGTTATATACTACTCAACTGTTGTTGAGGTTTTTGCCGTCAAGTCTATACTTATTTCACAATCCTCTTTGCACAATATATCACGCGAATTCAATACCGTCTGATCCAATAAATGGTCATAATTATACCGCATTTTCTTCATGCTTGAAAAACTTGGAAAAGTGGGTTTATCGCCGTTGCAGTTTGAAAACATTGCAATTTCTTTTATCAACGTCCTGTCGTGTAGATAAATTTCGACTAAATTTGATAAATGGTCAATGCAATATCCAAATTTGACCCTGATATTTGAATTTGGTGAAATGCTTCATAATGACCGACATCCTTATGGGAGGTCAAGTGGGTAAAACGATTCACGCATGTTATTAACTTGAAACATTCTAATGATATGACGTCATGAGCTTCTCTTGTTCTTTCATTCTAATCAGATTTACTTTAAAGATAATTGAGAGATTTCCAAGCGCTGTGGTTATAGCATATGTGAAAATCGAAGTCAGCTAATTAGGAATTAACTTAAGATTTGGAAAGTTGACCTGAATGCACTGCTTTGCACCTGTCGCTCTCTGCGGGAGTTTCACGACCTTTATATCTGTACCATATGTCGTAAATTATTCTATTTTATTTTGAATATCCGTGTAATTATTGAATGCTTTATTTATGGCAGAACTTTATTCTCATATTAATTTGATAATATTTGTTTATACACGTGCCTTCCCCGTGGTAATACAGGCCAGGGTTTTTAAAATTAAATTGTTTGCAAAAGTCGGAATGAACAATGACGATTACTTCAGTCAGCTAATTTATATTCCCATTTCGTTACGATAGAAACTTTAAATCCTTCCATTTATAATTATTATTAAACTATATTTCTCACTAAAATTTTATTAAAGCCAAGTCTTACACGCACTCATTCAAGAGTGAAGAGCCCACTTCAATTTTCCTAAGGGTGTGAAATATTTATTTTTGCACTGTCAGCTTCTACCCCAAAAAGCGGAACTTGGAAATAAAAATTCGTTTGAGGAATGAGAAAAACATAAATTTTCGATTTTTGATTCTTCTCATTTTTTATTGAATTACTTTGGTCAATATCGCTTCATATTTTGATTTGAAAACCAGTTAAAAAGGCATCCACTTTTTGTATTTTTCTTTATATTTCAACATATACCCGCTGTTTCGAAACCCTCGTTATAATATAAATTGCCCGTTGTCAAACATGATGTATAGATAAGAAGTAGTAGGCCTACGTGTCTCAAATATAGAGTGACTGACGATTTGTCACCAATGCGTGATTTTTTTTTCAAAAAATTGTTTGCCGAAGGTCACCGGATTAAGCAAATAAGTTACAACAAAAGTCTTCTCTTTATGCTAATATTATCCATCACAAAGCTGTTGTTAGTTTTAGGAATTTAATTGTGTCACACTTTCGTTAATTTAACAATGTATTTTGTATGGGACATAAAAGAAACGAGCTTTCTTGCCTTTGATTTATCTAATTCCTGTGCTCAGTCCTGGTTGGTATTTAATTCAGAAAAGGAAGATTGTGCGAATTTGGTACGATGGCTATAACAAAACAAAAAATTTATATTTAAGCCAAAGCATAATTCTACTTTAAATGTGTCACTTTCCTGAATAGATCACATCTGCGTAATAAATTAAAGAATTTGTGGCACCTACATTTTAGAAACTCTCAACCAAAGCGCGGATTAATACTGTGAAAATAATATTTATAGACTGACGAGAGGGCTATTGTTGTGATAAATTAGCACCTATGTAGAGATTTAACCGCTTTCAAGATATTATTTGTTGTTCAAATTCCTTGCCCAATTCAAGGCCGACGCCTATTTGGTATGCTCATTGTCTCCAAGCCCGGCGTATTGACTTGGAATAATACTTTAAAATCCTTCCGCTTGTTTGCTGTTGTTTTTGTAAAGTCAAACCAAGAAAATAACGAAATAACTTTCCTGTTAACTTTTTACCATACGGTTCCCTCTTTTGGCATATGGAAGCATAGCCGAAGCTCAAATATTAATGCACAGTTGAAATACTAGCTGGTTTGGTTATTTTATCTATTATTTTTTACACATCATTAAGAGGCGAAATTAAAATAGAACTTATTTGTTTTCGCATTATGAAAACTAATAATATGTAATCTAAATATGTCAAATGATCGTAAATAACAGTCTAGTTTTAATATTGATAATAATAACTTGTCTAAACACATTATATTGAAAGCCATTAACCCTGTACCAATTGTGATATAATTAGATCGTTAAGTTTACTATTTATATACTTAATTGAAAAAGCGTCATTAAATCAAATAATGATAAAAGCATTGTCTGGCTTCGATATGTTTTATGCTGTAATTTTCTTTACTGCACATTAATAGGCTTGCTCAGATGCAGCAAACTTTGTCTTACCTGAATCGTTATTCGACCAGTAGTGATGGATGCCAATCTGAAAAGATTTTTATGTATTTTGATTTTCATCCATTGATTTTTTTCTGGATTACGAATGTTTTGTACTTTACGTCATAATGGTCAGATATTTGTTTTTCGCCAAAAGTGGTTTTTGTTCTTGTATAAAACATTGCAAAAATATTCCACTACAATTATATCATCATACATTAAATCTGACCATATTTAAGGATTTATTGGGTGCTAGAGATATCGGAATGTATGTATGTACCGGTCTTTGTCTGCACGAATCGTGCCCCATCCTAATTACGCTCAGTGGACGTTATCTTTGAATTTCCCTGATGGCCGATTATTATTGATACGTTTAATGGTATGGATTATATCAGCGTGATCAAATTTTTTAATGTTCATGATTACAGTTGAAATTTGGATTTTAATATGCCTTCAAATTACTTCCACAATATATTTGTAAATTTCTAAATACGGCACTAATATGAGGCCGTTTCAGTAATTTGTTAGGATTAGTCAAATATTTGTGAGAAATTTATTCAGTTTGCCTATTTAAATTTATTTCAATCTGGAATATATGTAATGGTGATTGAAATCCCAGTGCCCTAGTTTTTCATCCGGGTTCATTTCTGTTATACGTATCCAACTTTTTCATGCTTTTCAGGTTATAGTTTGAAATTCTGATTCATATTTACTATCATCATTACCACCAAAATAATTCACTAAATGATGTTGGAACTTACGACCTGTGCATGTAATTTTGCAAGCCAACAGAATTAATATACTAATACCGAATTTGGCCATCCAATCTATCGCATGTATGGACAATTTTGATTCATATTTTATACTATATTTAATGCATATTTGTTATTTATCATGACGTATTATCGTGCGTCAATTGCATGCAGTCAAGCAAAATTAATAAATATTCTATGAAAAACATGTAATTAGTAAGATAAGCGAACCCCTACTTCCGTATCACTAAATTTTTGATTTGTACAAGTACAACTTTCAGAAATTTGATTCCAACGAAATTCAAGATTTGTTTCATGCAAAAATAGTTTATAAGAGTCCAGATAATTAAAAAAAAATGTATTTTTTTCTAAATTTCACCGCAAAAAGCTTCATATAGGCGAAATTGAAATCTAGAGATTCTAAAATACTAATCTATTTTGATATGCACGTCTTTTATTATCGCGAATGTAACTGATTGAATGAGGGCAGAAGAAGATAACTGTAGACTGTGTGTTAAATGGCACTCGTTTTCTGTCTAGTAGGTAGAGTACATGTATTGTGACAGTCACATAGCCGCTTGTTGGTTGTCCTATTATTTCACGGTCAAATTTAAAAGTAGGCATCAACCGCATTACAATATTCCCACGATTCATCAATCTTTGGAATTTATTAATTTATTCGTCGCAGAATTTCTATTACGTGTGTTAACACGAACTCCCGTTTTACATTTTTAAATAATATGGGAAAAACTAACAACGCGCAAATATACACATTCTTGACGCAATTTGTCACCGCTTGTTGTGGGGAACCTCATCCTACGTCCTGGTTTATTGGAACCAAATCAGATCGCAGTCAGGAAATTTTTTGGTAATTTTTACTATGTCTATTCCTTTATAAAGAGTAAGTAATTCTAATGAACGACCACCGATATTTTTCAGGTAACACACAAACTATCTGGCAAGGTGATGGTGTTAAAAAGAAACAGAAGCACAAATACGAAGCTCAACATCTTACGTGAAGTACAGTTAATGAATAGATTATCTCATCCGAATATATTGAAGTATGTTCATTTATAATTTTGTCTTCATGCTAATTCAGTAATAGAAATATGTGAGCATTCTTATGACGTTATTCATTGCCTAATATACATCGTTATAACTTTTATCTTTGATTTTCAGATTTATGGGTGTTTGCGTTCACGAAGGACAACTACATGCATTGACTGAGGTGAGAAAAGCGATAACATACCTAATTAAGCACAGGGCTGCCAGTCTCTGCCCGCCATTATCCGTTGCGTACCCATATTTGCCCTTGCAAAAATTTAGTTCCTATTTTTAAAATTTCGCCATATTTCGACATGTCTTGTGAACCAAAACGGTAGCAAAGTATGCAGTCATACCACGGTTACTAGCGGTTAACGTTACTAAAACAATGGATGTGTACTATATAAACGATGATATCATTTCCATATATATCCGTTTTATAAAATTGAATGGAAGGCCTATTCAAAATTAGCACAAGACGATCGTCCTGGTTATGTACTCGGGGCATTTTTGACAACGATTTGGGAGTTAACCTAAAACATTACATTCAGCTCTTTTGCTGTCAATATTTAATATTGAATTTGATCTTTCACACAATCTTAATCAATGATTAAAAGATCTAAATCGAAGAAATTCATTTCCATTTTATTGACATTATTATCAAGTACATTAATATATAAAGTCACTCGGTTTGATCTGATTCTGACCATTGTTTTCGACCATCCCGTTCGCAGAATCTTTTTTACAAAGCATTTGTTTGATTCTTTAATTATATCAAGATTTATTGTTCCCTTGTGACCATAATCGAATTATGGGATTATGATATCATGTATGGCTTCTGCAAATTAAATCAGTCAAATCAAATCGTTTTTTTGCGCACCCTGCACACATAACAATCAAAGAGAATTTTCACGAATCTGTAAAGTAGAATAGAATTGAAATAAAAAAAAATAAAATAAAAAATATGTTCCATCATGCGAATATCATTATACAAACAAAATACACTTACAAATACATTTACAAAAACTGTCCTTTATGATCTTATATTTTCATATTTCCAAGATGATACTATCATGAATTATTTTCACGTCTAATCTATAAACCATTACGATCTATATTATTGTCATTTCGCTCATTATGGACACGGCACATTTTCATATCACCGTTTAGATTTGCGTTGGTTGGACATGTGTCGTAGTCCGCTCTCGCAAGTCGTCCGAGATGTAACATTTTGTGTGTCGATTCATCTACGAGTCGATATAATTCTGTATTCTCACCACGATAGCTCTTGCTTCCGAACACCTAGTATTATTTTAGCATTAGTGTTATGAGTAAAGATATTCTCTCGCATATTGTAGAGCTTTCCTGGCTATGATCATTTTTTTTTATTCAACCGAGCCCATTGGTGCTCAAATGGTGTGACGTGGAAAAACGAGGATTGACGAACTAAATGAAAGTATCTATTTGACTTTTAACTACCATAAATACACATTCGTTCAGTGATATCAATAAAGCTTTGAGGTTGTTATTTCTAATAAAGGAGAGTTTGTTCGTGCTCAAAGGGCGTAAATTAACGCGAGTATTGTATATTACACACATGCTTGGTTGTACTAAACACATATTTGTGGGGAAATGATCCTATTCGGTGGATTAGCGGTGTTTTCGAACCAGACATACAAGGTTGTTATCCTCGCGTTTGTTTGGTTAAAACACTAAATTTTAAAAAAGAAATTTGAGCTTGTAAAACATTTATTAACAGTAAATAAGGAATATAAATGATGGCATTTATCACAGTAGTAGTCGTTGGTTAAAAGTATATCAATTCATACCACTCAGAAAACTGTGTACATTATTATCTATACTGAAATAATGGGTTTATTTCATTGGGGAAAATTTGCCTGTTCAGACGTTTTTTACGCAAAAAATGGTGATATTGACGTTGTTTTTCACTTGTCACTGGGTATTGAGATGCCTCATAGCTGTCAGTCAATATGAAGTGGTAACAGGAAAGTTCTATTGTGGCCGTGGGTCAAAGTGACCTCGCGAGCCGCCTTGTAGGCTGGCCGCTCAATTTTGGAAACACACAATGGAATTTTGAATTTAAATTTGGGAATGTAATGTAATCGCGTTATTATAAATATCTTTTCATCACAATCTGGGAAACATTCGACCTGGTGCCATCTATTTATAGCATATTACTTTTCATGTTCAGACTGGTTATCTTCTTTTTTGTTCAAATCCAAATATTTGCCAGGAAAGCTTGCGACAGATCAATCCCCTTTTCACTTGTCATCCATGTATGGCCGATCACGTATTTTATTTTCTAGCCAGACACTAGACGTCCCGAAGGTCAGGGTCGCCGGCTAAGTAATCAATAACTGAAGCGACTGCTTGATTGGAAAACACTTGCTTTTAGGTGATTAACTTTGTCAATGCCACGCATCGATCGTGTTAGTAGCACTTTTGCTCTGTCCACGATTTCGTTGTTTTATAAGTCTTGATAGTAAATATTTAATAAAAAACAAGTAAATATTTCAATTTACTTGTCGACCTATACAAGTCTGGCTTATACAATATATGAATCTGTGGGCGTAAGACAGGAACAACATACTTCATCATCGTTATATCCGTACCATCCCATTTTAGGGTTATTTCTGTAAACGTTTCTTTCATAGGGAGATTTCATAAAGAAACCCATATATTTTTTATACAGAAGTGTCATTTTCAAACCTCTCTGGAGTCTTATACAGAATCTTCATGGTGGAAGGAAGAGTATTTTCTTTTGCATTCTATACTCTTCTTGCTTTTGTTTGTGGTTTGTTTTCTTGTTCTATCTGCCCGTATCAGCGAATGTTATGGATTCGTTTAGTTAATCAAATGAATGTTCTTATTAATGGCCTTTCCCTGCTATCCAACAATTGGAACTGAATCACATAGTCCAACGACTAATTCTGAATTGCTTCAGGGTGCCCAGTTAATTATAATTCCGAATTTCGTATACCGGTATATTAAAAACAAAAAATTACTGTAGGTTAGTAATACCTTTAAAGTGAATATTTTTTTCACTTTTCTAAAATTAGCTTTTACGTGTGAATCATCTGTTTACTTACATTCTTTGAATATTGGATCATTCATCCGAAGTTTGCATACTTTACGATCCTATATTGGTTACCCTGACTCTTTAACCAAACGTTGCGACATGCTGTCGATATTGTTTTCTGGTAACTTCGATCGTGGTTGAGGCAAGTTTTAGACTTGGGCCAGGCATGCTCGGGCCAAGACATGCGTTGTCTATGATTTCAAAAAAACATGACTCGGAAGTTTTCTCCTACCACGTGTTTACAGTTCAAATTTACATTGGTCAATAGATCTTCCCGCTTCTTTTGAATTTTGAATAGGCGTGGAACAAAATCACTTCCGTCTTTGCCGCTGACTTGACAGCATATACACTGAATGACAAAGATAAGTATTCGGTGGCTTGAATGAATGAAACATAATAGGACAATAGTTTCAGGACCAAAGCAGACTTTACGAAACCTAAAAAGCATATTCAAAATATAAAAATTTCAATCAAAAAATTGTGCGTTCACTTTTAAATACATTATATTGGCATATGCGGAATGATATCATAATTTTGCATTTTTTGGTGACAATCAGTGTTAACTCTAAGCGAATTATGAGTGCGAAAGTGCTTCGTAGTCGAAAAAAAAAGTGCGAAAGTGCTTTTGCCGATTTTAACAAGTTAGGTGCTCTAGCCTTTCATATAACCCATTTAACACGGCATAGATACTCGAAAAGGCGCTCCTCCGGTTAATATTATGAATTAAAGAGAAGCCTTTCCGTTAACGGAGTTCCCTTTAAGCGAATTCATGTTTAATTAAAACAAGCGAATTCATCCGCAACGAAAAGACATGTGCTAACCCTTGCCGCGAACAAAACTTTCATGCAATGTAATGAATGTATCACAGTGTCAGTTGCGTACTCGCGTGAACAGCAAAGGCTTTCACATTTGTTACTCCTTCCATCTAACAGACAACGATTGATACACGTAGGCTGGAAACCATATTAGTTACAGGGTGGATCATTTGTACAAATCCCGTGCAAAATAATACCCCCCCCCCCCCCCCCCTCAAAAATATAAATAGCAATCAACTAATTAGGGTTAGGTGCGCTGGAAATTCAACTTTTCGATTTATCCCTAAACCTAATCTGATAATTATTAATTTGTGATTTTGAACCACTTTGAAAGTCGCCACCCGCTGTTTTAAAAGATAGGTTAACCTACGTTCCCTCCGAAATATTACACAGGATACTCCCCTGTTTTAGGAGATAGGTTGACCTACTTTCCTTTTAAACTTTTTTCTCCGAAATATTTCACAAGATCACTTTGAAAATCGTCCCCTTTCGTGAGCTAGCGTGACCTAATTTCTCATTTTCAATTACACTAATAGGAACAATGACACCAAAGAGTTTTCTTTTGCGAAGGTACACGAAATATAACGAGGGTGATTCTTGAAAAAAACATGAATATAAAAAATAAACGAATGATATGATAGTGGATCCCAAATAATTTTGAGAGCGTCTCGAAATACCAATCCATTTGATAAATAATTTTTATTCGACCACATGATCGCTGATACGTTTGTAAAGTTTAGAAACCAACAAACAGAAAATAACTTATCCTAAAACACAATTAAAATTCAGTCGGCAATAAATTTGTCGCCAAGACCATGCCATACAATACAAAAAAGATTTGGTCGCGAGAGTTACGTTAGATGACTGCAAAACGACGTTGTTTTTTAAGCAGAATGTAAAACAATCAAATTGAAAAACGGGAGTTACGACGCCCTTACAACAAATTGAGTGTATTAAACTTCCCTGGTAAGTAATATTATTATTGTACTTATACACCTGTTGGAGTATTTCGGACAATTTTGAATTTAAAATTAATGAAAACCCGACATATAATAAAGACGCAAAAGTAAAATGAACATTTATTGAAAAAGTTATTATTTAAGAAAGACAACATGATCGTACAATTCCGCCCAAACCTCGATGTTCGCAAGTGAGATGATAAATAAATACTTCCCTGTATTCGATCAATTAACTTTAGCGTATCGTTGTTCTGCCAACAAACAGCCGGGTGCAAAATATTTCCGTCCTGTGATATGCTCACAAATATTC